GCAGAAGACATGGAAAGACTAGACTTGGCCGAGTGCTCTGGCCTCCATCTTTCTCCCATGCTGGATGCTTCTAGTCCTCGAGCATCGGACTCCAATTTCTCCAGCTTTGGGACTCTTGGACCTTCAACCACAGACTGAAGGCTACACCGTCAGCTTCCCTATTTTTGAGGTTTTGGGACTTGGACTGGCTTCCTTGCTCCTCAGCTTGCAGACGGGCTGTTGTGGGGCTTCACTTTGTGATCGTGTGAGTCAACACTCTTTAATAAACTCACCTTCACATATACATCTATCCTATTAGTTCTGTCCTTCTGGAAAACCCTGACTAATACAGTGGTCATTATAAACCAAAAAGTATCTGAGACAGGTCTCAACCAATTTAGAAGTTTATTTTGCCAAGGTTAAAGACACTGCCCAAGAGACAGGTCTATACCTTTCTCCAAAGATGATTTTGAGGGCTTCAATATTTAAAGGGGAAAGGGCCGATATTGGGAAAAGAGGAAGACATTTTTAAAAGGTGTTGATAGAGAAGAGCTAAGCAGTTTCATTCTTATGAGCCTTTAATCAGCCGTTCACATAGAAGAGGCAGGTAGAGGAATAATCACTTATGCATTCACCTAGCTCAGTGAATCTGCACTTTTACATAAGGTAAAATAAACATAGGGCAGAGGAAGCCATCAGCCATGCATTTGTCTCAGGTGAGCAGAGGGGTAACTGAATTCTGTTCTTTGTCTCATACCTATGAAGATAAGCTGTCAATCTATGTTGTCCAGGTGAAATTCAACAGAACTGTTTTAGGGTAAATATCTTGGGGCCCATAAGGAATTTCCTAGTGGGAAATGTAGAGGAAGCATGTGGCTTTTTATCATTGTAGCTGTCTTATTTAGGAACAGAATGGGAGGCAGGTTTGCATGATGTGGTTCTCAGCTTGGCTATTCCCTTTGGCTTAGACACCAATCCCACTGCTGGGCAATCTTTCCTCATGACCTAATCACCTCCCAGAGGCCCCAGCTCCAAATATTATCACACTGGAGATTAGATTTCAATGTATGAATTTTGAGGGAACACAAACGTTCTGACCATAGCAACTGGACCCAGTGATAACCACAATTTTAGTTTCTTCGCCTGTGCTATCCAATATGGTAGCCGCTAGTTATGTGGCTATTTAAATTACAAATGAAATGAAATTAAAATTTAAAAAAAAGCAGCCATATTTTCAAGTGCCAATGGCCACACGGGGCAGTAGCCGCCATGTGGGACAATGCAGAACATTCCCATCATCACAGAAAGCCCTAGTGGATACTAGTCATTTCGTCACGGACCTCTGGAGAGGACATTTTCAAGCAGAAGGGAAGTAAAATATCCTCTGACAGGTGAGGCCTGTCAGCATTGCTCAAGCACACCTGTGTGCTTGGCCTACATTTCATCCCTAACTTCAGAAATAAGCCCTGGAAGTACAGCCTTCAGCCCTAACTTAGAAGTCCCAAAGCGCATGCCCCATTCTGCCCTAGCACCATTTTGCCCCAGGAAGCACACACAAAAACAGTGCTGGAACTGGGAAATATTAGAATTTCTGTGCTGGGAACTGTGACTGTATACCATGCAAGACCATGGCGGACAAGGCCAAGGGTATAATGGCTAAAGTCCTGGTATTCGAGTCCCCATGCAACTGGAGCAAACTTCTCTGAGCCTCCGTACACTCTTCTACAAAGTATTCTTTTTCTGTTTTTTTTTTTGAAACAGGGTCTCACTCTGTTGCCCAGGCTGGAGTGCAGTGGTGCAATCTCGGCTCACTGCAACCTCTACCTCCCGGGTACAAGTGATTCTCCTGCCTCAGCCTCCTGAGTAGCTGGGATTACAGGTAGGCACCAACACACCTGGCTAATTTTCATATTTTTAGTAGAGATGGGTCAGGCTGGTCTCAAACTCCTGACCTCAAGTGTTCCTCCTGCCTCAGCCTCCCAAAGTGCTGGAACTACAGGCGTGAGCCACCACACCTGGCTTTCTATAGAGTATTCTTGAAATAGCTACCTCACAGGGAGACGTGTGAAAAGGCACCTGTAGTTTACAGTTCACTCCGTTAGTTTTTTCTTCCTCTGTTGTGCTGCTATTGTGTGTTAGACATACTCTAATTTAGTTCTTATGCTTTCTGATTATGAGTCTCCACCAGGCTGGAACAAGGTAAGGCCCCATCAGATTCAGTCCTCCCCTCAACACCTACCCTACTGCTCGGCACCTGAGAGATGCTCATACAGAAGTGCAAAAGGCCAGGCCCGGTGACTCACGCCTGTAATCCCAGCACTTTGGGAGACCAAGGCAGGCGAATCACCTGAGATCGGGAGTTTAAGACCAGCCTGGCCAGCATGGCAAAACCCCATCTCTACTAAAAATACAAAATTAGCTGGGTGTGATGGTGCATGCCTGTAATCCCAGCTACTCAGGAGGCTTCAGCAGGAGAATCGTTTGAACCCAGGAGGCAGAGGTTGCAGTGAGCTGAGATCATGCCATTGCACTCCAGCCTGGGAAACAAGAGCGAAACTCCGTCTAAAAAAAAAAATGTGCTAAAGATTATGTCTCGGGGAAAAGCCAGGTCACAGGTGAGGATTGTGCCATTTCCCTGACTCTCCCCAGCTCTGTGCTCATGCTCTTTGTTTAGCCTGGAGCACCTGCTACCCCCGTCCTGATCCACACCCCACCTTTACTTGCCCAACCCCATCTCTGGCTATAGAGAATCTAGTAGTCCTTCAAGAATCTTCCCAAAGATCTGAATGCCAAATGAATTAATCAGTTGTGGAGTCAAAAAGCCTGCCTCTACCACTGCCTACCTAGGACCTGGTAAATTTTTGTAATTCTGCCTATCTTAATTTTGCTGATCTGTAAATTGGGCAGAAAAATATCTATCTTTCAGTTTTGATATGAGATTTACATAAGCAATAGTATGAGGAATGCCAAACACATAGCAGATGCTGAATAAATGCCTTGAAAATGGCCATTTCTAACAGCTCTGGGAAATTCTCCATTCCTCAACAGTACACCGTCTCCTCAATACCTCCGCTAGGTTTTTTTTTTTTCTCATCATTTACTTAGCAAATATTAACTGAGCATGTTTTATTTGCCACTGCTGTGCTAGATGATTGAGATACAAAGATTAGAAGCCAGGCATGGTGGCTCTCACCTATAACTCCAGCACCTTGGGAAACTGAGGCAGGAGGGTCGCTTAAGGTAGGGAGTTAAAAAGAAAAAAAAATTAGCTAGGCATGGTGGCACCTGTACTCCCAGCTACTTGGGAGGCTTAGCTGGGAGAACACTTGAGGCCAGGAGTTTGACCCTACAGTGAATTATGATCATGCCACTGCCCTCCAGTATGGTTGACAGAAAAAAAAAAAAAAGATTAGAGAAGCCTCTGACCTCATAGTCTAGTGGGGAACCAGCTTCCTTGGGAAGCTTTCCCTGCCTCACCTCGCCCACCTCAGGCTGGGTAAAAACCCCCAGTCTAACCAATTGTTTCCCTCCAACCCCGTACATATCACAGTGTATTGCCTTTTTATTTCAAACACGTGCTGGTCTCTGTTCCAATCACAGCAGCCTGTGTCCATTAATCCATTTAATCCTCACAACAACCTTATCAAGTAAGTATTGTCATTATTTGCCTTTTCCAGACAAGGAGACTGAGGCACAGACAGATTAAGTAACTGACTAATAAGGTCTTCTAGTTTATAAGTAGAAGCAGCCAAGATTTGAAAACACACCTTCTAGCTCCAGCTTAATTAACATGCTCTGTTTACTTATCTGTCCCCACTGAAATTGGAGGTTGAACCCATGGCATATTCAAATGAGTAAATATCTCCTGTACCCACCCCATTACCTGACACAATAAGTCAACAATAACTCATTCATCAAACAGGAGGAAAGGAGGAAGGAAGGGAGGGAGGGAGGGAGAGAGGAAGGGAGGGAGGGAGGAGAGAAGTAAAACAATTCCACAGAGGTTTGGTTACCCACATTTACTAAGCATCAACACTGACCAGCCTGTGCCATGAATAAATGAAGCCTGGGTGTGGTGGCTCATGCCTAAAATCCCAGCGCTTGGGAGACCAAGGTGGGAAGATGGCTTGAGCCCCAGAGTTCAAGACCAGCCGGGGCATATACTGAGACCTTTTCTCTACTAAAATTAAAATTAAAAATTAGCCAGGCGCAGTGGCTTATGCCTGTAATCCCAGCACTTTGGGAGGCAGAGGCAGGAGGATCACCTGAGGTCAGGAGTTTGAGACCAGCCTGACCAACATGGAGAAACTCCATCTCTACTAAAACTACAAAATTAGCCGGGTGTGGTGGCGCATGCCTGTAATCCCAGCTACTTGGGAGGCTGAGGCAGGAGAATCGCTTGAACCGGGAGGCGGAAGTTGCACTGAGATGAGCTCACACCATTGCACTCCAGCCTGGGTGACGAAAGCAAAACTCCACCTCAAAAGAAAAGAAAAGAAAGAGAGGCAGGCAGGAAGGAAGGGGAAGGAAGGGGAAGGAAGGGAAGGGAAGAAAGGAAAGAAAGAAAAAGAAAGAAAGAAAGAAAGAAAAAGAAAGAAAGAAAGAGAAAGAAAGAAAGAAAGAAAGAGAGAGAGAAAGAAAGATTAGCTGGGTGCAGTGGAGCGCGCCTGTAGTCCCAGCTACTCTGGAGGCTGAGGTGGGAGGATTGCTTGAGCCTGGGGATTCGAGGCTGCAGTGAGCTGTGACCACACCACTACACTTCAGCCTGGGAGACAAAAAAAAATTATTTTTTAAAAAAGAGAATAAATGAACATCTGTGCAGCTCAGAACTTTCAGTTATCAGCGTCGAGAATTCCAGGCGGGCGCTGCGTTTTCCCCGGCTGCTGCTTTCTATTCTCTCACCCCCGTCCCCTTCCTCTAAAATCCAGCTCCACCTCTTCTTTTTCCTTTGCCGTCCTCTCCGTGAACACCGCGGTCCGGGTTTTCAAGGCTCCGGCAGCCAGGAGAGGATCGCTGCGTGGGAGCGTTCCGGCCGCGGAGGGCATGCGCGGGGGGCGGTACAGTGCGCATGCGGGAAGATGGCGGTCCAGGCGACCTGAGAGGCGCGGGTTTCCCTCCTCCTGTCTCGTCTGCGGCCGGAGCTCCAGGGCACGTGAAGCCGTGGCGCGTTTTCCCGCAGGCGGGACGGCCTAGCCGGGCGGCGCCTCGGAGCAGGCCGCAGACCCGTTAAGTGCTGGGCCCTTGGAAATCGGCGCTTGGGGGGCGGCGCTCGAGCTAGGCGCGAGAGGGCGGGAGAGCTCTCGGGGTGCGAGGGGAGCGGGACGCCCGGCTGGGCAACATGAGTCAGCAGCGGCCAGCGAGGAAGTTGCCCAGTCTCCTACTGGACCCGGCGGAGGAGACAGTTCGCCGTCGGTGCCGAGACCCTATCAACGTGGAGGGCCTGCTGGTAAGCGCCGGGACGGGACGGGCGCGGGCGGGGGTCTCCCAGATCCGGCCCCCTCCTCCCCGCGCTGCCGCCAACCCCTCGGGTCGTCGTCTCGGTCGTTTGCTCCCCCTGGACCAGGCGCTGCCCGTCACGTGCTGCGAACTGCGCTCTCCCGCCTTTCTGGTTTCAGCGCCTGCTCGCAGACGTGGTGTCAGTCTTCTTCCCTTTTACGTCGGAACTTGAGGGCACTGTTGGAGAAAATTGCTCAACTTTGCATTAGAAAATCCATGTTTTTCTCCTTCTTCCAACTCTAGCTGTACCTCTGCAACCTATCATTTGTTCTCTTCTGCCTCCTCTCCCATCCTTTTACTCTACTGCAGCCGTTTAAAACCTTGTCCACGCTTCATATTTCCCACGTCACAGCTCCCGTTCAGCACATTATCTCCCCACCTGTTTGACAGAGAAAATGTTTAGGAGATTTGGCTCCCCTTCCTGCCAAAGCTGATTTTTTATACTCTTGTTCTCGACCAGCAGTTTTACTCTCTGCAGTTTTCAGGGCCCTTAACAAATGCATCCTTTTCCATTTCTCTCGTATTTTCTTTTTCTTTCTTTTTTTTTTTCTTATCCTTTTTCTTTCTTTCTTTCTGGGTTTTCTTTCACCCCCGAGATGGAGTTTTACTGTTGTTGCCCAGGCTGAAGTGCAATGGCGCAATCTCAGCTCACTGCAACCTCCGCCTTCCAGGTTCAAGCGATTCTCCTGCCTCAGCCTCCCAAGTAGCTGGGATCATAGACATGCGCCACCACACCTGGCAAATTTTTGTATTTTTAGTAGGGATAGGGTTTCACCATGTTGGCCAGGCTGGTCTCGAACTCCTACCTCAGGTGATCCACCCGCCTCGGCCTCCCAAAGTGCTGGGATTACAGGCGTGAGCCACTGCCCCCAGCCTCTCCCCATAGTTTTCATTTCTTTGCTGCTTTCTTCCTATAACTACTAGTAATTAAACATTTCCCAAGCCATTAATTCTGGTCCCCATGCCAAATAGTTTGTGATCATTGCCTAATTTCTCGCAGCAGTGTTTTATAATAAAAGATGATTATTCTTGTTTTACGGTTGCCAAAACAGACTTGGAGATGTATGTAATGCTGGCTTGCCTGTGGCTAGATAGTAAGTGGAGAAACTTGGGTTGAACCTCCAAGTTTCAACCAAATGATACATTCTTCACTACTAAAACTGCATTGTAAATCCATCCCCATCTTAAAAGATCACTCCCTTAATTGATCACTCCCATATTCCCTCCCATCTACTGTCTCTCTTCCCCTTCACAGCTAAACTTGAAAAAGTTATTTACACTCACTGTTACACTTGATCGTCCCTTATTACCACCTAACCCACTCCTGGGGACCCCTACCCTAAGCACACCTCTAAGAAGACCTTGCTAACTGACAATTTTGTCAGTTCCATCAGCTGTTGGGTTGTGAACAATCTTGTCATTTCCATCAGCTGTTGTAGTTTTGACACAACTCTCCCTTGAGTTTCCTTGACATTGATACTCCATCTGCTTCTCTGGCCTCTCCTTGTCCTCATCCTCTTCCCATTCCTTCATGTTGATTTTGTTTGTTTGTTTCTCCGGGACAGACTCTCACTCTGTCACCCTGGCTGGAGCGCAGTGCCATGATTATGGCTTACTGAAGCTTCGACCTCCCAAAGTGATCCTCCTGCCTCTGCCTCCCAAGTAGCTGGGACCATAGGCACATGCCACCACACCTGGCTAATTTTTAGTTTTTATTTTTAGAGATGGAGGCCTCCCTACAAGGCCCAGGCTGGTCTTGAACTCCTGGGCTCAAGCATTCTTCCCACCGCAGCTGGCCATATGTTGATGTTATTCGGGTTCTCTTCTACCATCTCTACACATTCTTCTTAGGGGAGTTCATTCACTCCTCCCATGACTTCTGTTACTATCTACATTTGATCCTTGACTCAGGGATTGGGGCACCAAATCCCATGAAATTCAAAATCTGAATATAATTTTGACTCCCTCAAACGTTTACTGTATCCTGGAAGCCTTACTGATAATGTAAACAGTTGATTAACACTTCTTTTATGTTTACCTGTATTAGATACTGTATTCTTATAATAAAGTAGCTAAAGAAAAGAAAATGTTATTAAGAAAATCATAAATAAGAGATAGCCTTTATTGAGGGGAATTAGATCATCGTAAAGGTCTTTATCTTGTCGTCATATTGAGTAGGCTGATGAAGAGTAAGAGGAGGAATTGGTTTTGCTAAATAAGGGGTGGTAGGGGGTGAAGAAAATTGACATATAAGTGGACCCACACATTTAAAACGTGTGTTATTTGAGAGTCAAACTGTGTATTGGTACCATCTGTATTGGTGGTCTTAAAATATGAGAATTTGATAAAAACTCAGCTCACTGTGGAAAAACCACTTCGCATGTAATATCAGCAGATAGAGACATCCCTTGAAATCTTAGACATATACTTCTGGTATTTTCAGTTACCATGTCACAATTCCCAAATCTATAAATCTCCCTCAGGGTTTTCCAACTGTCTGCTAGACTTTCCTTACTTAGGTTTCAAACTCCTGTTAATCCCCCCATCTGAGGTTTCACTTTCCTTGATTTTAGTTAACCTGTGGTCTCCCAAAATATTAAAATTTAAATGAAAATTTAAAATAAACAATTCATTAGTATTAAATTGCTTGCCATTTCAGCAGTGTGATGAAATCTCCAGATGTCCAGTACTACCCAGCACCCAAATCTTCCTTTGTCCAGAGTTCCCATGCTGTCTTTGCTCTCTGCCCTTAGTCTCTTAGTAACTGTCTCGATTCTCAGAACAACTGTCACCGTGCTTGTGTTCAAGTAACCCTTATTTTACTTAGTAATGGCCCCAACGCACAAGAGTAATGATGCTGGCAATTCCAGTATGCCTAAGAGAATTGATGAAGGTGTTTCCTTTAAGTGAAAAGATCTAAGTTCTTAGTAAGGAAAGAAAAAAATACCTTATTCTAAGGTTGCTAAGATCTACAATATAATAAGATATTTTGAGAAAGAGACCACATTCATAAAACTTTCATTGTAGTATATTGCTGTAATTGTTCTATTTTATTATTAGCTGTTAATCTCTTACTAGGCCCGATTTATAAATTAAACGTTATCACAGGTATGTATGAATAGGAAAAAAATAGTATACACAGGGGTTTGGTACTCTTTGTGGTTTTAGGTATCCACTGTGGTTTTAGATACACAGGGTGGACTACTGTATATCTAAAATTAAAGTTATTGCTGTATCGATCAGGGTTCTCCAGAGAGACAGAGCAATACTAATACAGATTTGGTACCAGGAATGGTTCTAGGGGAACAGAATTTTAAGGATGAGTTTCCTTAATTGGGATTTTTAGAACTGGTTCTTTAATCTGATTAGAACCTAAAAATGCCAAGGGCTCTACTTCTCATAGAGAGAGCACTGGTAGCCCTTGACTCGAACTGTTTATAGATATGCAGAATACATGCCTTTGACATTATAATTCACCACTTAGAAGAGGCAAATAATTGAGTGACACTTTCAGACATTTTTGGAAAAACAAGGATTATGATGGCGTTGGTTGGTTGCTCCTAGTGTCTTTAAACAACATGACGAAAGAAAAGGATGAGCTCGGGGATTCAGTTTCATGACTGGAGCGCTACATAAGTGACCTAAAAGTTTCTAAGTGTGCCCTGGGTTAGAGTTTTCTATCCTGTAGCCACAGGGCTGAAACTCCTGAAAATGAAACACAAGCCTTCATCGTGCAACTGGCATATCACAATGAAAGTTGAACTCTCTTAGCCTCGCGGAGCATCTACTGTTAAAGTGAGGGTATTGGTTGGGAAAGAGTGAGATCTCTGCAAGTTTGTATGGGATTATGTGGGAAGATGAGGCTGGACACATTGAGCCCCTAAATTCGGATGAGTCTTGTTTGCCAGAGGGGCAGTAGCATTTCCACCTACAGTGGTATCAGCCTTTCCATCCCTTTCTGGGGGGATTGATTCTGCATTGCCTGTGAAAATAGTAATGGCCTCCTCTGAAACATTGCTAGTTCCCAGCCAAGACAATGCTGATTCTCATCAGGACCCATCCCCACCACCCCTCTTTGCATCTAGACCTATAACTAGACCCAAGTCCCAACAGGCCTTTAAAGGTGAGGTGCAAGTATGACCCATTCCATTTCTAGTACCAAATATGTATTAGGTTTCTCTGGAGAGACAGAACCAATAGTGTGTATATATATATATATATATACACACAATCATGTACTGCATGATTCGGTGAGTGGTGGACCACATATACGGAGGTAGTCCTGTGAGATTATGATAGAGCTGAACAATTTCTGTCACCTAGTGACATTGTGGCCATCATAATGGTCTTAACACCAAACATTACCTTTTCTATGTGTAGATGCACAAATACCATTGTTAGTTACCGTCGTCTGCAGTATTCAGTCAATCATATGCTATACAAGTTTGCAGCCTAGCAGCAATAGGCTATACCATATAGCCTGGGTGTGTAGTGGGCTATGCCATCTACGTTTGTTTAAACACTGTGATGTTCACACAACAAAATCACCTAATGATTCTAAGAAGATGCATGATTGCATGTGGAGATACGAGAGGGGATTTATTAGGGAAGTTGGCTCATGTTTATGAAAACTGAGAAGTCCCACACAGGCTGGCTGGCTGCAAGCTGGAAACCCTGGGATGCTGGTTACATGGCTCAGTCCGAGTCCATAGCATGAGAACCTTGGAAGCTGCTAGGGTAACTCCTGGAATCCAAAAGTCAGGGAGTCTGAAGTTGTCATCCAAGCACAGACCGGAAAGAGGGTCCCAGAGGATCTGGACTTCGAGAAGGGAGAAAATAGCCTTGGTTAGAGGTAGAACTTGGTCTGCATATTGAAAAATAAGGAAAACTGGAATGAGTGAGAATGTAATAATTTTGAGAATGGTATATTTCCAAAGACCTCTTGAAGGAATATTGGTCCCCAAAACAGAATTGGTACAGAGAAACATCTGTATACAGCGATGTCTAACCAGCTTGTAGGCACTGCTTTGCATTTTAGTCTTTGAAATTCACATTTTCTTTATTTCTTCCACCTTTGAAGAAGCTCTTCATAGCTACACATAAAAGTATACCTGTTTAGATAGGTGGTTTGGAGCAGTGGTGAAATAGCTTGGAACTTGAAAAAATACGCGGTCTTGCCGCAGAAGCTGCTGGCTCCAAGAGAGCTGTGTGCTCTGTCAGGGCCCGAGAGCAGCCTAGTGATTTTCATTTTGTAAATTTCTGCCTTCTGCATTCATTTTGCAGCTAACATGCAAACAATCTACCTACTTACCATCTTTCTATTTATCTGTATATGCTGTCTGCCCCTGAGGGGCAATGGTACTATTGTGATTCCTCAAGAGAGTGTTTTTATGCTCAAAGAGGAAAAAAAGAATGCTGTTGGAGACTGTTTTCCCACATATATCAATATAGCCAATATGTAGTGGAACTGCATTAATAGCAAAGAGTAGGGAAAACAAAGCCATCTTTTTTCGTATGCCTAATTGAGGTGTTATCCCTGTACCAGCCTGTGATCCACTGCCTAGATGAGATGGGTAGGGCGGTGTGGAGCAGAGAAGATGCCCCTCTAGAATGCGTAGGTAGGTAGTGAGGCAGCCTCTTTGGGAGCCAGTATGTAAGACCTGAATTAAGAACAGGAACCTCGAAGCCGGGCACTGTGGCTCAAGCCTGTAATCCCAGCACTTTGGGAGGCCGAGGCGGGTGGATCACGAGGTCAAGATATCGAGACCATCCTGGTCAAAATGGTGAAACCCCGTCTCTACTAAAGATACAAAAAATTAGCTGGGCGTGGTGGCGCGTGCCTGTAATCCCAGCTACTCAGGAGGCTGAGGCAGGAGAATTGCCTGAACCCGGGAGATGGAGGTTGCGGTCAGCCGAGATCGCGCCATTGCACTCCAGCCTGGGTAACAAGAGCGAAACTCTGTCTCAAAAAAAAAAAAAAAAAAAAAAAAGAACGGGAACCTCTACACCAAGGCACCTCTGAGCTTATATATAATAATTTAGGATATTTGTTTATATGTGTTTCAAATCAATATGATAAGGATGAATTTTTTTTCTTTTCATTCAAGAATCTTCTTACAATAGCTGGCCTGTCTCATACTGCTAGCAAGGGTAAAATGTAAAAATAGCAGTGGCAGTTGGTTGCACTTGTCTAGTGTCTGACTGTAGGACCACTTCAGAGTTTCACTGTTGGATACCGTGTTTGCAAGTCACCATTGTTACCACTGTTTGAGAGAGCTGGCCAGACACTGTCCCTGCCCCCAAGGCCAGCATTCCTGGCCCGTCTGTGTGTTCAGTTCTGACAACTAAGTTAATTTTACAGTGGGATTCTATCTTGATGGAAGTATTCCATATCAGGTTAATTTGCTGGTAGATGCTGTGGTCTTGTCATAGAGGGTAAGGAAATCATTGTGCCAAGAATATTGTTAATATTAACAAAGAGCTTCTTAACTGCTTACCTTGCCTTCAGGCCTGCTCATTTCCCAGTCCTTTGCTGTATTGCTGCCATACTTACATTTCTAAACCATTTACTTCATTATGTCCTAGTCTTGTTCAGAAACCTTTGGTAATTCTCTACTGGTTATGACATAAAGTCCAAACTCTTCAGCATGAGTTTTATGTGGTGCCAGCATACCCTCCCAGCTTCAAAATCAAGTCACTTTCACACTGACCACTTAGGTGGGTTCCCAGAAACATGCCGTATATATCTTCGCACCTTGGTTCATTTCCAGCACTACAATCCCGTCTGTTTCTTCTTTCCCCACAGTTGTTTATTCAGACAAATCCGGTTTGCTTGGCAAGGCCCACCTGGGGGCTACCTTTGCCATGAATCCTTCTGTGATTTCCCTGTCTGGGTATATCCATAGTACTACTGTTGATTCTCTTCCTAGGGCACCTGTGGAATTCACTTGCCCCGGTTTCGCTTTGTGGCCAGTTTTTTCTTAGATAAGAGTTGAACCTGATTACAGCCTGTCTGAAGGCACATTAACATTGATGTTACTAGGAGTTTCTGTTCATATGCTTTCATTTTAAGGTTTGATTTCATTTTATTTATATTTTACAAAAAATTTCTAAATATTACTTCTAAATAGCTGGTAAAATTGGTGAGCATTGATAATGGAGCTTCTACTAATTTCCTGGTTGTTTCAGAAATTTAAAAGAAACTTTAATGCAGAAGTTTCTAGTTATCCACAGCATGCATTATTTTCCATTATTAGAAATGCTCCTGTTTTTACATTAATTGTACTGGGAATGCATAGCTGCCTATGAAAGCTTGTGAGCAAATTTTTGGGAACCACTTATACTTAATAGCAAGCAGTGAGCATGTGTTGGTTGAGATAGATCATATTTCTGCTGAGTGTTCCCAAGTCAGGGACAGTGTCGTAGTGATCTTCATGTTCCTTTTATCTTCAGTAGCTGATATATTCAGTAATTATCGTATTCTTTGTGTGTGTTGGGGGGGGTTGTTTTTTTTTTAGAGATGGAGTCTTGCTCTAGTGCCCAGGCTGAAGTGTAGTGGCGCGATCTCGTCTCACTGTAACCTCCACCTCCCAGAATCAAGTGATTCTCTTGCCTCAGCCTCCCAAGTAGCTGGGATTATTGGTGCCTGCCACCATGCCCAGCTAACTCTTTGTATTTTTGGTAGAAACAGGATTTCACTATGTTGGCCAGGCTGGTGTCAAACTTCTGACCTCAGGCGATACACCTGTTTCGGCCTCCTCTCATAGTGCTGGGATTACAGGCAGGAGCCGGTGTGCCAGGCCAGTCACTGTATTCATATTCCCAGACCTTGATATTGTAGAGAAAATGCTATTTGTTTGCATTGTTGTTTTAAAATCACTAAGTTAAATTTTTTATCTTTTTTTCAGCCATCAAAAATAAGGATTAATTTAGAAGATAACGTACAATATGTGTCCATGAGAAGTAAGTTGATTCCTGAATAGGTTTTAGGTTTTGTCGGTTTGAACTTCATATAATTAAAATGATTTGTTTTAAATATGTGAGTTGATGAGAAACTGAAATGAAATGTGATATTTGTACACTGAAATGTAAAGTTTCAAGTTTTAGTAAAAACTCCTGAGGTTATGAGTTGAATAATGTGCCCAAGTGCCAGTTTCTTCTCCACAGAACAGTCTCTATTTAAGGCTGTTTTCTCAGAATGCCTCCTGGTAGAGAAATTTACTCTTTCTTTCTTGTTCCTTATCTTGGGTTAGTGTTTAGGATGTCTGTTAAAGGAGGTAGGGTGTAAGTAGCTCTAGTTCCCTATCCTTCTGGAAGTCTTTGTGATAGGTTGCCCCACCTCAGTTTCCTAATCTCAGTGGATGGATAGTGCACAGATATGTCATTGTGGATCTTAGAAATACTAACCCTTCATTTTTCCTCAGTGCCTGCCACAGTCTCACCCCTAGTTGGTCACCAAGTTTGCTCAACTTCACCTTTGATGTGTTTCTGGCATCTGTCCCATACCTCCAATTTATAATAATACCTAACATTTATTGAACCCGTATAGTGCCTGCCCGTATAGTCACTGTCTGAAGCTGGCACTGTCTGAAGCTCTCTGCATGGACTGTCACACCACCCTTCAAAACATAGGTGTGGATTAGAATTCTCATTTTATAAAGGCCCAGGGAGGTTAAGTGACTTGCTCAGAGTCACTTGCTTCTCTGATGCAAGAGCCTGGAGTCTTTACCACTGCATTGAATTGCTTCTCCTAGTTCAGGGTCTAACTTCCTCTGTAGCTGAAGTTGCTGGGTCTTCTTAGAAGGCAGCCAGCTTCCAGCCTGCATGCTAGAAAAATCCAGAGGGATTTGTCTAATACAGAAATGGGATTATGATATCATTCAACCTAAGTTCTTCAGTGACACTCTGTTACATATGGAGAAAACCCCGGTTCTGCGTATATGTGACTTTAAGTGTTTGTATTAAATCGATAAGTCATTTCATATTAAAAGGAACAAGGCAATAGAGAATGGCTAGAACAGACAAGGCCCCCACAGGCTGTTTCTTAACGCTGCAGCCTCTTCTTCCAGCATGCCACCCTCCTCCATGGCTCAAGCTGTGCCGCCTGTGATTCCCAAAGCACCCCAGGTTCTCTAAGGCTGCTTTGTCTTCTGAGGTGTGGTTTCCTTTCCCTCACTTCAGCCCCTCACCCTCCGTCAGAGTGAGCAAACACCTCGCATTCACCCTGCTGTTCCCTGTGCCCAGTGTACTCCCATCAGGAGGCCTTCTCAGTTCCCCACTCCAGTGAAGGTTTTATTTTGTGCCATCGGGTGACTGAATACCTCTCTTAGCACTTAAGGGACGTAATAGAGTTCCTTATTAGACTATGCAGTTGCTTTGGTTTGAAGACCTCTGTAGTCCTATTTAGATCCCCTCAGCAACTGTCACGTTTTCGGTATTTGGTTATACGCATTCTTTATAAAATGACATCATAGAAATAGACTTATCCTGAGCATAATATAAGACCATGCCTTGTTAATAATTAGTATAATTAAATATATGCTTTTTAAAATTATAATTTCTCATTTGTAATCTTCCTGAGTTTGTTGTAGAATTGTGACCTACTTCCAGTTAAAAATCCTTTCAAATTTCCTAATTTACCCCTATTTAATCTTAAGTGTAAGAATGGGCTCCAGAGAGAAGACATTTATATTATGAAATATGTCCCTTTGTTCCTGAAGTAACCGCCAGTGGTCTTTAAACTAAAGGTGACATTGTGGAGGTTCTGAGTAAGGACATTTCTGGCTGAAGGTAGGATGGACATGTCTTTGAGGCATACTGACTGTGGTGTGCTTTGGAAGTAAAGAAAAGGAAAGTCATATATTCCACACTAGAATGACAGGAAAGTTATTTTAGAGATTATTTCTTCTGCAAACCAAGCCATAGGAACCTTTTCTTAGTATCAAATGTAGCAAATTGGAAAAGATGACAAGATACTTAGTTCTGGCAAGGGCATGAGATGAGGCCCGTGTATAGTGCATGAAATGAGTAGAACCTACAACCTGAATAGCAGTTTAGCAGTGCATATCAGAATTCCTTAAAAATGTCCAGCTATGGCTCAAGCCTGTAATCCCAGCACTTTGGGAGGCCGAGACGGGTGGATCACGAGGTCGAGAGATCGAGACCATCCTGGTCAACATAGTGAAACCCCGTCTCTACTAAAAATGCAAAAAATTAGCTGGGCATGGTAGTGTGTGCCTATAATCCCAGCTACTCGGGAGGCTGAGGCAGGAGACTTGCCTGAACCCAGGAGGCGGAGGATGCGGTGAGCCGAGATCACACCATTGCAGTCCAGCCTGGGTAACAAGAGCGAAACTCCGTCTCGAAAAAAAAAAAAAATGTCCAGCTAAGGGGACATACAATAATTTAACCACAAAAAGATTCATTGATGTTTTAAGCAAAATAGTAAAGTTGGAGACAGCCTGAATTTCTGATATTGGGATAAATAGCAAATACTGCGTACAGTTAAGTATGCAGCCATTAAGAAAAACGTTGCAATACATTCGTTGACATGTCAGGATGTTCACAATATTGCATTAAAAGAACATGTCGCAAAATTGCACGGTCCTATTTTTGTTTTTAAAAACTATGTATATGATTGACACACAAGCATGAGTGTATTAGAGGTGTGTGTGTGTGAAAACCGTGAATCATCGTAGTGAGTGAAGGAATTAGAGGGATAATTTTGGTTTCATTTGTCTATCTGTTAAATAGGGTAGTGAATATTTTTAAAAACAGAGATACCACTTTTGATCAAGGTTTGTTTTCATTGTCTTAATCGAAGACTAGTTTGGGCTCTTTCAAAAAATTCATCACACAACTTAAACTGTGACATGGATAGAGTCGTTAAAAGGGGAAAAAAGCCAGTTCTCTGCCTTTGCTTTGTAAAGAATTCCTTAACTTGAAGACCAAATGAGAAATTTAATTTTAAAAATCATGTCTAATTCTATTCCTGAGAGTGGTGTGGATGCAAATGTAAACTCGCTGCTTTGTCTGAGAAGATGCAGTGGACTTGTAAAAATCCGCATGAATTGGAGTGGACACTGGTTGCAGATTTCAGATACTCCTTTATTTAAATCGAAAGCCTTTGTTTAGACCCGGGATAGGCCAGTAAATTTTTTTTATCCAATTTGAGAAATGTATTTCATAGAAATCAGCTTTGATTTGGTCAATGTGTGGGAATTTTTGTAGATGTTTGCTGTCTGATCAAGAGTAAACAGATGATTTTTTTAAACGAGTTGAGGAATGTTATTTAAAATTTTGCAAATATGTTTATTTTGTTTCCCAGAAGCCCTAAAAGTGAAGAGACCTCGTTTTGATGTATCACTGGTTTATTTAACTCGAAAGTTTATGGACCTTGTCAGATCTGCCCCGGGGGGTATTCTGGACTTAAATAAGGTTGCAACAAAACTGGGAGTCCGGAAGCGGAGGGTTTATGACATCACCAATGTCTTAGACGGCATCGAACTCGTTGAAAAAAAATCCAAGAATCACATTCGGTGGATGTGAGTTGCTTTCAAACTTTTCATGGCTTTTCTTCCCTCTCACCAAGTGACAATTCCATGCTTAAAACAAACTGCATAGTAGCAGTGTTTTGACAATGTCAAACAAAGGTACGACTTCTTGATAGAAGAGGATTCTAAAATTTTCTTGCACCATCCTACAGAGTACATACATTTTTTAAGAAGTATTTCCTCACTTTCAATTGATGATTGACATTGGGAAAACCTGTTAAGGTTGTAAAACAGTAGATTTCACACGTTAAGTGTACTAAACATCTAGAGGTGTCCTGCCTCTGGAGCTGTGGTTCAGTAGTTCTGAGGGAAAGCAGGAAAGTACATTCTGAACAGGTAGCTCAGGTGGTTATGACATAGTGGGGTGTTTGAAACACTGCCCTGATTATTAAAAAAAAAAAAAATTCAGGCCAGGCGTGGTGACTCATGCCTGAAATTCCAGCAATTCGGGAGGCCGAGGCAGGCAGATCATGAGGTCAAGAGATTGAGGTCAAGAGATCAAGGTCAACTGACCAACAGAGTGAAACTCTGTCTATACTAAAAATACAAAAATTAGCTGGACGTGGTGGCGCACACCTTAGTCCCAGCTACTTGGGAGGCTGAGGCAGGAGAATCACTTGAACCCAGAGGCATAGGTTGCAGTGAGCCGAGATCATGCCACTGCACTCCAGCCTGGATGACAGAGCAAGACTCCCATCTCAAAAAAAAAAATTAGACAGTGTCTAAAAGGAAGTTGCTAAAGACTTGACATGATTAGAAGGGATCCCAGGGAAAGAGGAGCTTAAGACATTGATGTCAAGAATGGTATTTATGTGTGCACACCATAAGAAAAAAGCTCTTACACCTAGAATAGGCAAGTATTTTGGGACAGGGAGAAGTAGTTGCAGCAAGTAAGTTCATAGTGACCTCTCAGGCAAATTAAAACCTGCCAGCAAAGACCCTAAATAACTAACTTAGTATTTAGAGGAAAGGGATTCATAAAAGAGGTTATTTTTTCAATAGTACAGAAGTACAGGTTGAATTCTAATTTGAGCATGCTTACTAAATGACAGTAAAAAACATCTTAAGAGTTGAAATCAACTGGCATTGTGAATCGCTGATTAGAATCAGATTTGAAAACTACCAAGCAAAAGATAAAAGATAAAGGCAAGGACCTTTCTCCTTCAAGGTCCTCAAATTTTTTTCATTAAAATTGAAAGAAAAAAACGAAAATAACTGTTGCCTGATCATATCATATTGGAGTAGACCTAATAACTAAAGAGAATATGTATGTCTTTTTTTTTTCTTTCGAGACAGAATCTTGTTCTGTCACCCAGGCTGGAGTACGGTGTCTTGATCTCGGGCTCACTACAACCTCTGCCTCCTGGGTTCAAGAGATCCTCCCACTGCAGTCTCCCCAGTAGCTGGGATTACAACTGTGCACTACCATGCCCAGCTAATTTTTATATTTTCAGTAGAGACGGGGTTTCACCATGTTGGCCAGGCTGGTCTCAAACTCCTGACCTCAGGTGATCTGCCCTCCTCAGCCTCCCAAAGTGCTAGGATTACAGGTGTGAGCCACCAAGCCTGGCCAGAAAATACGTCTTTTTTATGATAATGAATATAACTGTTGTATTCAGATGGAATGCATACACTAGGGAAAAATACAGACTCATCACATTTTAGCAGAGGAACCATCATTTAGCCAACACTTTTTTTTTTCATATGTAGGAATTCAAGTACTATAAGATTGCCACTAACTTACCAGAAGCTGTGTTGTAAGTATAGGACTGAGGCTTAAGCTGGATATTACTGACTCTTAGTTCAGTGCTCTTTCTGCTTCCTTAGGCTGTCTCTGCTATTATTAATTTCTGTTAGAGTGTAATGTATTTTTTATTTTTTGCAAAAGACTGTAAGAGGAACTATGAATAATTTATATACAGGAGGAATAATGGCTGTCTAGAACAAAGACGGCAGAAGTTGAAAGTCCCTACTTTCTGTTGTGGAAAACACCCATGGTAAACATTTGAGGTTCCATAACCTAACGTCAAATTCCTTTGTTATCTCCTAGTTGGTATTGATGGTGATTTTTTTTTCTTTTAAAGAGGATCTGATCTTAGCAATTTTGGAGCAGTTCCTCAACAAAAGAAGCTGCAGGAGGAACTTTCTGACTTATCAGCAATGGAAGATGCTTTGGATGAGTTAATTAAGGATTGTGCTCAGCAGCTGTTTGCGTTAACAGATGACAAAGAAAATGGAAGATATCCTTTAAGTCTGTACGTTTTTAAAATTTCTCCTTCCAGAGCAGATTACTTAGATAGTAGAGTCAGCTTGGGGACTTAATTTATATATTTAAAATATAAAATTAGACCATTGCAAGCTAAAGTAATACAAAATTAGCCGGGCGTGGTGGCGCATGCCTGTAATCCCAGCTACTCGTGAAGCTGAGGCGGGAGAATTGCTTGAACCTGGGGGGGTGGAGATTGTGGTGAGCCAACATTGTGCCATTGCAAGAACGAAGCTCCATCTCAACAAAAAACAAGTTTAAGTAAGTACAAGTTGGTAGTGTAGCCTCAAACATACACAGCGTACGCAGTAGGTTGTTTTAACTTCGGTGTGGCGTTTCTTAGATTAAATTCTGGAAGATGACCTCGGGTATAGTATCAAACCAAGGTCAATGCTGCCACTTAAAACAGTGGAGCATTCATTTTTATAGTCTGAATACTGTAAAGATAATAAATTTTTGTTGGCTTTTGTGAAATTCATGTTTTTCCTAGAAATTTGTAAACGGAAGTTGATTCTGAAACAGAGTGAATTGCCATTGAAGTAAGTGGTGCTTCAACTGCCATTTGTGTCCACAGAAGCATGTTTTGCTTAATAGCAGTTTTCCTTTGAAACTCAGTGTCTCTGGGAACTGGGGAATGGGCCTGGGGGAGCCTTGTCTTTGGTACTGACCTCCTAGGTGTCTTAGACCTGTACACTGTGCTGTTCCCGTGGTACCCTTTGTGAGGGGGTCACTGATTCTAAGATATTCCATACCTCAGATTTACTTAAAACTCTCTAGCAGTCAGAAACCTCTATTCCTACAGTACAGTTATTGGAAGGAAAAGAAAAATAAGCACCAACATTACTGCAGCCAATTGGGAAAAAAAACAGTGCTAGGGAAACCCAGTAAATTTGAGGTAAAATTTGAGACAGTACAGTGAAACAGGACGAAAGAGACTCAGATAGTGAGAAGGAAAATCATTTCGGATGAAGTAATGAACATAACAGTCTTGAGAAACAGTCTCTAAGTTGTTTACACCTTTTTATGGATTTTAGGGGATGAGTCCTGAATGTTTTTTCTTAAAGTTATAGTAAGATCTAGCTTACTGTAGCTGAAAAGGGAATCAAATGAAAATTTGAATTTCTTCATGAGCTATATTTGTGTTAGGGATTTGGACTTTATTAATATTTTTCTCTAGAAATTATCATTATAATAGTATAGCTTAAACTCTTTAGGTTGAGGAAATATTGTAAAACACTACAAAATCTTTGTGAATAATAAAAATGATCAATGAATTTTTTTTTTACTGCTTTCCTTCATTGTGAACTTGTATCTCATAAAAACTAAAGACATTCTAACATTACCCTTGTGTTACTGAGTTACTAGAGATAAATTATCTCCCCAATAAATAGCATTCTGCATAGAGATCCTTGACTGAGTTTTACACTAGCATATGTGACATATCAAGACATTCATAGCATTCAGGCCTTCCACGAACAGATCGTCATTGCAGTCAAAGCTCCAGCAGAAACCAGATTGGATGTTCCGGCTCCCAGAGAAGTAGGTAACCCTGCATTTTTAAAATATCCAAGGCCAGGCGCCATGGCTCATGCCTGTAATCTCAGCACTTTGGGAGGCCAAAGCAGGCGGATCATGAGTTCTGGAGATTGAGACCATCCTGGCTAACACACTGAAACGCTGTGTCTACTAAAAATACAAAAAATTAGCCGGGCGTGATGATAGGCGCCTGTAATCCCAGCAACTTGGGAGACTGAGGCAGGAGAGTTGCTTGAACCTGGGAGGCAGAGTTTGCTTCAGAGCCGTTGTGTGCATGTGCACTGTGTGTCTCATACTGACACTGCTCAAGGCACTTCATACCCTTTAACTTGTTTCAACTAACAACAAATCAAGTAGTCATTATTCTCATCTTAAAGATGAGGAACCGAAAGCTCACAAGATGAGTTATCTTTGTCAGGATCACCAGAATTCAGACCTGGTTAAGGTGGCTTCATAGTTGCTTCTTAGAAGAACCACCAAGAATTTTCCTCTCTTAAAGTTCCAAAAGTAAGGTGTGGTCTCAGCCAGGGCACTGGGGACTTTGGGCTTTTTCCCTATGCCATGAGCTGCTTCAGACTGTAATTGCTGAATCTGGCTGAGCCTTTGATCATGCCTGAGGCTTCTCTTAGAGTCTCATTTCAAGTCTGTGCACATGGGCCCAATTGACCAGAGCCTGACCATGAAGATGTGGGGGTTGGCAAACTGACCTTCTTGTTCTTAGAAATACTTTTATCAGGACACAGCTACATGCCCATTTGTTTACATACTGTGTCTCTGGCTGCTTTTATACTATAGTGGCAGAGTTAAGGGATTGTGACAGGGATAGTATGACTTGCAAAGCCAAAAATATTTACTGGCTCACCCTTTACAGAAGTTTGACAACTAGTTTAGTGGAATGTGAAGTCCTCAGCTGGCTTCCAGTTGAGAGTAACATTAGTTCCTTTTACTGTTTAGAAATATCTGTTAAATTGTATGGGATTTACCATTCAAACCAGATGTGACCTGGCACTCTAGAAGCTGAGCACAGATATTCCCTAGCCCACTTGCTGGGTACTAGAAAGTCATAGCAAGGACAAGTGAGGGTCTGAGACCGTCTGAGAGGCTGCATCTCCCCATACTCACCCTGGTATGAGATCACAGTGCAGTGAAGAGCAGGAGGGAGCAGTGGTGTCTGTGTGTCCAGCCCAGGAGAAAACAGACTTTGTTACAGTTAGACTAGCTCCCAGTTAAAGCAGTCATTTATAACCGGAGCTGTTCCTTAAGAATTTAGCATAATTCCCAGTAGAAGCACTCAAATTGCCTGATACCATATGGAAAAAGTATTTTGATGAATCCTGAGGAAATTTGAAATCAAAGGATGTGAAAATCATAATGAGTTAATAACAGTCCTTGATAAATAATCCTAACTATCTTTTTGATGTTTTACTTGAAGTATATTTTGATATTTTCCTGTTCTTTCAACTGGACAAAAGAATGGCCCTTCCAGTTATCTCAAGACCTGTTCATTGGCCTGGAAATAGAAGCACATATTTATCCTGTGAGACTATGGTATTCTGGAGTTCTTGGTCATCAAAACGCTGATTTTTGACTCAAGTATGGCCTCCTTGAAGGGGTCGGGTCCTGAGTAGAAAAAGACAGGCCCTTGAGTACTAAGGTACTCTCATGATGGCTCTGAAACCATTACCACAGGATCAAGTATAGCTGTGTTCAGCCTGTGAGTTGGCCAGTGCTTTCATGTGACACAGCTAAGATGATTTTCTCAAATGTGTCTTGAGATTTTTGCAGTTCTAGTGAGTGAAAAAATATGATTTATTATTCATCTTGCCGGTTCCTGTGTCTTTTGCTAGGACTCCATCACAGTGCATATAAGGAGCACCAAAGGACCTATCGACGTCTATTTGTGTGAAGTGGAGCAGGCTCAGACAGGTAACAAAAGGGCTGAAGGTGTCGGGACTTCTTCATCTGAGAGCACACATCCAGAACGCCCTGAGGAGGGTAAATATGCCAATTTTGTGATTAGGGAAATTTAAGAGTACAACAGTATTTTCAATAAGCTGTCATATTTTGATAAGCAGTGGAAACTTAGAATTATGTTTGGTCCCATGATGATACCAGCTTGCAGTGGTCTCTGAATAGGGCAGGCTTTTAGTCATAAAGCAGCTCCACTCAGCCAAAGAGCCTGCCCATGACCTGGCTGGGAGACTTCCCCTCCTGTACATCTTAGAGAAGGGAAGGGGCTAGACCTGCTTGACCCAGGCAGCCGAACACTCACTCAATTCAGCCAACAGCCCGCTCCATAAGAGTTAATCCTCAGTCGCACATTTCTAAGGATGTCATCTCTGGACCCACCTGGCCGGAGCAGCAACTCCATCTGACCTGGGACCCCAGCTTGCAGCACTGCCCAACAGCAGATCCCAAATAGTGGAATTGCCTGAGCAGGGAGTACATCTTGTGACGGCCAGGGCAGAAGCCATTACAGTACCCAGCCAGCATCCGAACAAAGACCCAGCCAACTGGAGAACCTCAGCAAGCGCTGCAGGCCAGGGTGGTTGTCATCCACAGGCTGGACCCATAGGAAGCTCTTTCACTGACAGAAAATACCTGTAGTGCCCAGAAGATGGGGCTGTTGCCCACACTCAGACCACAACTCAAAGACTAAAGAATTACGACGCCTCCAAAAGAAACTAATAAAGTGCTAGTAAGGGAAGGCTTCCTCCATTCTCTCATGGGTGCTTTCAGGCACAAGTTCCAGTTACAGTTTATTCTTGAGCGACTGAAAAAATTAGCCTTGTGCCATTAACTGAGTTTATGTGATCTTGACCAGGCGTCTTCAGGGTTTTAAGTAGTCAGATTGTGTGTTATTTTACATATTTGCCTGTCAAACCTTCACTAAGTGAATTTCTCTCTGTTCTTTTTCAGAAGAAAATCCTCAGCAAAGTGAAGAGTTGCTTGAAGTAAGCAACTGATGGCATTTGAGAATTTCTGTATTACCGAGTTTTTGGGGAACATTTTTTGTGGAGAATTACGTATCAACTTTGATTCTCGGAGCAATAAATTATCCATGAAGTGCTCTCTGCCCTCGTCTCAGTAGCCGCATCATGGCCGGTAGTGTCTTTGAGGAGCTCACCACTTAGATGGCTGAGGAATTGTGCTTTCCACATTTGAAAACAACTCATTTTATAATTATTCACTGCTTTTTGTCAGTGAAATAGACATCTTGCCTCCTGAAATAGCTTCATCACAGAGTGTCATGAAAACAGACGGTCAGGCTGAACTGGACAGTTCTTCTTGGACTCTGCTCTTCCCTTCAAGGAGTATGTCATATATCACAAAAGAAATTGCCTTACACTGGTTCACACTTGCAGTTACTGTTGTACATTCGATAGATGTACACATGAATTTAAATGTGGTGTCTTTGTATATATCTGTATAATGTTTAGGTTACTTACAAATACGTCTGAGTGACACTTTTCACACTTGTACAGCCAAAATAATGTATATATGGAAAGTGACAAATTCTCTAATTTCTTTGGTATCTGTAACTTATTAGAATCCTCTGGATGAGGGTTAAAGAAGAGTTTTTCCAAACTTCTACATGTAGAAGTATCATAAATGTGCTACACATTTATGTTTGTGGATTTAATTAAAGTATTTTAATACGGTTCCCAGTGCCGACATTGGAGTTGGATACTTCTTGGTTTCAAACTGTCTACCTGCTTGCTGTCTCCCAGCAGGCTGCTGGCATGCCCAGTGGCTTTGGGGGCAGGTAAGAGAAATGCCATCAGGTGACAGCTGAATTCATTGTGAAACATGAATTCAGTCATGGTGAAAATTGGAAACTCTTTTAAGGTTTTTGCAAGCAGCTTTTATAATGTTTGTGTATGCAGCCTTGCTCTTCAGTCAGAGGGGTTTTACTTAGGACAAGTTGTACCTTGCCCTCTCTCCAGCTCCACTCCCACATTTTCACGTACCTAGCTATTTCTACCTCATTGGGTAAGTCATTTACCACTCTGTGCCTCAGTTTACTCTAGTTTACCATTAGACTGTGAGCTCCTTGAGGGACTTTGTCGTAATCACTGTTATATCCCAGTGCCTCGCACCATGCCTGGCCCTTAAGAAGTGCTCAGTAAATGTTTGAACAAATAAGTGAGTAAATTGTAAAATCAGACTAATAATATCTGTTTTGTCTATCATACAAGATTCCTATATCTTTTGAATTCAGATTTTAAACCTTGCTTTTAAAGAAATATTTGAAGCAACTTCAAATTCAGACTGTGTTTAAAAAGATTGAAAATCGGGATCCAAAAAGTATTAACAAATAATGCTGAGTGTTTAGGATCCACACACCTCTGAGCTCTGGTGGCTTTTGCCAGTCCTGTCCCTCTGCTGAGCACCAGCGCTTCCTGCAGCAGTGCACTTCCTGCTGGCGTGTTTGTGTGCACCTGGGGATGCACTGTACTTCTCCCCCAGTGGTGAGCCTCAATGCTTTTCCTCTTTCTGTTTTGTTATTTGAAATTAGCCAAAGAAAAGCTGCAGGGGGCACTGCTGTTCAGAATCGGACTGCTTGGTTGTACTGTTTGACAGAATAAGGAATACAGGAGGAAGGGGAGGCCTAGGGTAAAAATTAGGTTTGGGACGAGCTTGATGACAACAGTAGTTTCTGCAGGTCACTCTGTGTCTAGTTCAGGTGCTTGTGGAAAGATAGGTTGGGCAGATATCAATTGAGATGTGGTAGTTTAAACTGATGAGTAGGAGAGGTTATCTAAAGAGTAAAGCAGGCCCAAGGGCATCTATATTTAAGAGAAATACAGGAAGTCTCCTAAGAAGAAGTAATGGGGTGGGTGGGGAGGGAGAAGGCTGCGTCCCAAAAACCAACAAAGGTCTTACCAAAGGTGATCACGCCTCATTTCTGAGCAGCAGTTTCTTACTTGTGAAATGTGACAAATGTTCTTTACAAATTGTTCTGAAAGTAAAATGAGATCATGTAAACGAAAATCCTCTGTAAATTACAGATGTGTGTTACAAATGAAGTATCTCTCGAGTCACTCCATCTTCTGGTGTTTGGTCTCTGATTTTTAAAACAGATAAAATAAGCATTCCATGAACTTGTTGGTGGGCCCTTCCTCCTCACTAACTCAACCAACCTCAGTATCCCAACTCCATGTGCACTGCTTCTTCCTTCAGAAGCCTTGAGTGTTTCCTTCAGGCTGAAGTGCAGACTGTGGATATAGAAGGGTCCCAGCCTCACTCTCCAGTCCTGCCGTGGTACTTGCCTCGCTGGTCTCATCACTGCCTAAAGCACACAGTGAACTTTCCTATCCCTGCCTTTGCTCATCCTATTCTCTTCCTGTCCTCTGTGTTTCAAAATCACATCCGCATTCTGGACCTGTCTCCACCCACGCGTCCCCTTTGCTCCTTTCCTGCATGCAGTTTATACACAGCACGCAGGTGGCCATCTTCCATCCTTATAAGTAGCTGTGACTAAGTTCCCAGCTGCCATTCCATGCTGTCAGAGGCTAAGGTCATGTCTTAACACGTATATGTGTTTCCCACATTAACGTAGTGTTCAAGTATGATATGGTTTGGCTGTGTCCCCACCCAAATCTCATTTGAATTGTAGATCCCATAATCCCCATGTGTTGTGGGAGGGATCAGATGGAGATAATTGAGTCATGGGAGGAGTTTCCCTGCTTCCTGTTCTCATGATAGTAAGTTCTCATGAGATCTAATGGTTTCTAGGGGCTTTCCCCTTCGTTTGGCTCTCATTCTCTACTGCCACCATATGAAGAAAGACATTATTTGTTTCTTCTTACACCATGATTGTAAATTTCCTGAGCCTCTCCAGCCATGCTGACGTATGATTCAATTAAACCTGTTTCCCTTATAAATTAACCACTCTTAGGTATGTCTTTATTAGCAGTGTGAGAATGGACTAATACAGTAAATTAGTACCACAGAGAGTGGAGCGCTGCTGGAAAGATACCCAAAAATGTGGAAGCAACTTTGGAACTCAGTAATAGGCAGAGGTTGGAACAGTTGAGGCCTCCAAAGACAGGAAAATGTAGGAAAGTTTGGAACTTTCCTAGAGACTTGTTGAGTAGCTTTGACCAAATTGCTGATGGTGATAATGGACAGTGAAGTCCAGGCTGAGGTGGTCTCAGGTGGAGATGAGGAACTGTTGGAAACCGGAGTAAAGATCACCCTTGATAAGCAAAGAGACTGGTAGCATTTTGCCCCTGCCCTAGAGATCTGTGGAACTTTAAAGTTGAGAGATGATTTAGGGTATCTAGCAGAAGAAGTTTCTAAGCAGCCAAGTGTTCAAGAGGAAGCAGAGCATGAAAGTTTGGAAAATTTTGCGGCCTGATGATGGAGAAAAGAAAACTCCCATTTTCTGGGGAGAAATGTCAGCTGGCTGCAGAAATTTGCATAACAAGCAAATGTTAATCATCAAAACAATGGGGAAAATGTCTCCAGAGCATGTCAGAGACCTTCCAGGAGCCCCTCCTGTCATTAGCCTGGGGCCTACAAGGGCCGCTCTACCCGCCACCCGCCTCCATGCTGCATTGGGATGAGTGCCCTGCATCCCAGCTGCTTCTGTCCCAGCCTTGGCTAAAAGGGGCCAACAAAAAGCTCAGGCTGTCACTTCAGAGGTGCAAGCCCCAAGCCTTGGTGGTTTACACATGGTGTTGGGCCTGTGGGTGCACAGAAGTCAAGAATTAAGGTTTGGGAACCTCTGCCTACATTTCAGATGGAAACACCTGGATGTCCAGGCAGAAGTTTGCTCTCTGGAGAATCTCTGCTAGGACAGTGTGGAAGGGAAATATGGGATTGGATCCCACACACAGAGTCCTGACTGGCACTGCCTGGTAGAGCTGTGAGAACAGGGCCACCATCCTCCAGACCCTAGAATGGTAGATAGCTTGCACTGTGCACCCGGAAAAGCTGCAGACACCCAGCGCCAGCCTGTGAAAGCAACCAGGATGGGGTGGGGGTGTACCCTGCAAAGCCACAGGGGTGGAGCTGCCCAGGGCTCTGGGAGCCCACCTCTTGCATCAGCATGACCTGGATGGGAGACATAGAGTCAAAGGAGATCATTTTGGAAAGTTAATGTTTGATGACTGCTGTACTGGATTTCAGATTTGCATGGGGCCTGTAGCCCCTTTGTTTTGGCTAATTTCTCCCATTTGGAATGGGTGTGTTTACTCAATCCCTGTACCCCCATTGTATCTAGGAAGTAACTAACTTGCTTTTGATTTTACAGGCTCATAGGTGGAAAGGATGTCTGAGATGAGACTTTGGACTTGGACTTTTAGTTAATGCTGGAATAAGTTAAGACTTTAGGGGACTGTTGGAAGGGCATGATTGTGTTTTGGATTGTGAGGACATGAGATTTAGGAGGGGCCAGAGGCAGAATGATAAGGTTTGGCTGTGTCCCCACCCACATCTTATCTTGAATTGTAGTTTCCATAATCCCCATCTGTCATGGGAGGTACCAGGTGGAGAAAATTGAATATGGGGGTGGTTTCCTCCATCCTGTTCTTGTGATAGTAAGTTCTCACAAGATCTGATGGTTTTATAAGGGGCTTCCCCCTTTGATCAGCTCTCATTCTTCTCTCTCCTAACACCATATGAAGAAGGATGTGTTTGCTTCCCTTTCCACCATGATTATAAGTTTCCTGAGGCCTCCTCAGCCATGCTGAACTGTGAGTCAATTAAATCTCTTTCCTTTATAAACTACCTAGTCTCAGGAATGTCATTATTAGCAGCATGAGAACGGACTAATATAGTGTTCGCTAAGTTGTTGCTGGTTGATAAGCGATCCAACTACATCATTTGATACAATTCCCAAGAATTTTTTTTTTTTTTTAAACAGAATCTTGTTCTGTCACCCAGGCTGGGGTGCAGTGCTGTGATCTCAGCTCACTGCAAGCTCCGCCTCGCAAGTTCAAGCGTTTCTCATTTCCTCAGGCTCCAAAGTAGCTCGGATTACAACCATGTACCACCACACCCAGCTAATTTAATTTTTGTATTTTTTTTAGGAGAGGCGGAGTTTACCATGTTGGCCAGGCTGGTCTTGAACTCCTGACCTCAAGTGATCTGCCCACCTTGACCTCTCAAGGTGCTGGGATTACAGGCACGGTGCCTGACCCTGAGAATTTTTTTTTTAAAGATGACTTCAAAAACTAACAAACTGAATTTGTACTGAAGGAAAAAATGATTACCAAATTTGCCTTTTGCTAAAAGTTATAGCATATCTGAGTAATTGTCCTTTGCTTCAGCAAAAGATGTGCCCCCACCCCCCTCCTTGTCTAGAGGAAGGCTTTAAACTTAAGGCAGCTACAACTCCTTTTGTGCCTCCTTTTTGATGGTTTTGGCTCCAGGGATGCATGTATTGGCTGGGGTCAAGTGAATGCCCAAGGTTGATGGTGCCACTGAGGGCTTGAGGGGCCAAAGACAGGATCAGCATTTGACTTTCATACATGAAACTGTTTCTTCATATTTCAGAAATGGGCCACTTGATGATTAACATAATTAAAAATGAAAATCAGCATAAAACCACCTGGATCATTAAAAGCAACCCATTGTATCACAATGTTTCAGAGTCAGCTTTTAAATTCTGTTAGCACTGGCTTACCCCACCTTCCACGTGCTGTCGTCTGGCTTTGCCAGGTGTTAGCTGCAGACTAAGGCGGTGCCTTCTCCTGGCTTTATCTTTTACATTTGTCATTTCTTTGACCACTAAAGACAGACCTGGTGCCTTGTTGGCTTTAGGCCCTGTTGTCAGTCCATTCAAGTGGGAAAGGGATGATGTTTGGGGCTTTCCACCTGGCCTTCAGAGGACAGGAAGCAAGGGCTCAGAGAAGCAAGGGGTGATCTGCTGAGGGAAGGTAAATAAATGAGCAAAAAACAAAAGGAGGAAAGAGCCAGGACGACAGGATAGGGAGAGAAGCAAGGGGGGAAGATATAAAGGAGAGGCAGTGGGAGAAGGGAGGAAGAGTGACAGTGTGGCCTGGGAGATGGGAGTCTCCAAAGCCCGGGTGTGCACCAAGCAAGGTGGGCATCACGGCAGCCAGAGGAGCAGCCCCAGAACGCCAGTCTCGAAGGCGAGATGCCCGGAGGTGGAGGCTTGCAACTCCCCATGAAGCTACCACTTGGTGAGTTCTGATGTGGTGTCAAGGAAGGATGTCCTCTGTGATACTTTTGAAACAACTTTCCACTTTCCAACTACATATTTGTACGAGGCTGGATTTTTCTTTATGTATGTAAACCAAAACATACAACAGCAGAATTCAGGCAGAAGCAGATAGGAAAATCCATCTGGCGGGCCAGGTGCAGTGGCTCACGCCTGTAATCCCAGCACTTTAGGAGGCCAAGGCAGGCAGATCACCTGAGGTCAGGAGTTTGAGACCACCCTGCTCAACATGAAGAAACTCCGTCACCACTAAAAATACAAAATTAGCTGGTGTGGTGATGCATGCCTGTAATCCCAGCCACTCAGGAGGCTGAGACAGGAGAATCACTTGAACTGGGAGGCAGAGGTTGCAGTGAGCCAAGATCGCGCCATTGCACTCCAGCCTGGGCAACAAGAGCGAAACTCCATCTCAAAAAAAAAAAAAAAAAAAGGAAAATCCGTCTGTCTTTTCGTTAGGCCAAACATTAAAGAGATTTGTGAAATGTAATATAATGCCATCTTCACTACGTTGTTTTGTCTTGGAAAATGTAGTTATTTTTCATAAAAATATTTAACATGTATTGTGTTTGTTTTTATTTTTAGATGAATTAAATACTTACGTAATTTCTTAGTTTGAATGTGCAGCACTTTACATGTCAGTCAGTATAATACATCAAAACCTTTTGGGGTGTTTAATGTTTTAAAGTTGAAGAAGGTGCTGAGGCCCGAGCTTATTCTACCCAAGGACTCATAATTACAGGCACCGCCTCTCCTGAGAGAGCTGAGGAGGGACCTGTATGCTCCCATGTGCACACCACACCCTCACACACAAACACACACACACACACACACACTTCACTCCCTTCTTTTCCCAAACA